AAATTACTAACAATGTTTAATGAACCAAATGTGACAACAGGCTTCAATACTGGAGTGGCAGCAGCTGCGTTACAAACTGGAGAATCTAAAAGAAGATCAAGCCTGAGTCTGAAGTTGAAGAGACCTTAGAAAGGACAAGGTAAAAATGGGTGTAACAAAAAAATAATTAGGAACTTAACTGCTGTCCTGTGAAGAGAACGAAAGGAGGAAAAAGTGCTCTGATGGATGTGCTGAGTCTTACCAGGAGTCCTGGAGAATGCACTTTCATATACATGGGTACCATTTGTGGAACTACGCACAGGAATGAAGGGGAATATATACACACAATACACAGACATAAAATGCTTATTTTAAATAAATGTTAGACAGTACTTGGAAATAACCTGGTAAACACAAGAAGATTATGATGTATGCTGCTATGGTATCAAATATTGTTTTTGCTTCCCTTTTAGTTTTTGTTTTGCGATGACACGAAAAAAGCAGAAGGAAAAACTAATTAAGCTCTTTTTTATTCAGGTGCCCAAAACACTACAGCAGAGTATTTAATCCCAAATGACCCCCGCTATAAATAAGATAATTGTACCCTACTATTTAGTGCTTATCCATAATCAGGTCTCATATACAGTAAAATAATGGATGATTAAGCTGACTACACTTTTAATAGTTTAATTTACATATTTAGAGAATCGTGCTGTAGTAAAAGCTTTATGGAGGCATAAATAATGCATCTCTACAGATTTGCAGCAGGTAGCAGGGAGCAAGCCTGTGTGCCAGCCGTACCTGAGCTGAAGTTCAGTACGATGTACGTTAAGCTCCATACCTTTCTTGGGTATAACACAAATCTCCTAGAGACTGACCCTGCTGACCAGTGAACACATTTCTCTGCACTGCAGCCCATGCATGTAACGATTCTGTGGGTGATTTTACACGGTAGTGTGAAAATACACACAGACTACAGATTTCAAGGAAGCGTAGTCACTGGTAAAGAATATTTTCATTCCACCTTCAGAACTCTGGTCTATCAGCAAGCCCACACTGCTGGGGACTCCTGGCTGGCATCTCACACCAGCAATTCATCTGAAAAGGGGCCCAAAGTCCTTCGCACAGACAGGTGGTGTGCCACAGTATTTTCAGATGTTTTTACAACAGTGTAAACTTAAAATCAGGCATGGCTACAGGTAATGATGCAGTACAGGGCTACTTCACCCAGATTTCTGACACATCTTGAGCTCAGGGGGAACGCACTGAGGACCAAAGGAGGTGCCCACCTGAGCAGCCTCATGGTTTTTGGAAGAAGATGATCTCCATTCAGGGTCTGGGCAAAAAAAAGAGCCCTTTGGAACTGTTGGATATTGTCACTGTTCTGGTAATATCTTAAAAATGCCTTCCTGATCTGTCAGGTGTAAAGGACAAGCAACTCCTTCCACACAGGAATGAGTAGGGAAAAGGAATGCCTATGTGGTTTTGGGATGTAAGGGAACTCGCATTATTTTGCAATAAGATTTAGCATGGTCTACAAGCATATCGTGTCTAGAAAGACTGCCGAGGAGTCAGGGGGTGGGGGGAATGAAAGGTGGGTTAGAGAGGAGGAGGACACTAGACACAGGAGTGACCGGTCTGTACTCCTCTGGTGGGTGCTTCTTGCAGACGGCCAAAGGAAAAAGACTTATCCTGAGATGCCCTGTGGTCAATAAGAGGCCTTTAATACACTAAACAACACCTCTTCCTCTCAAAACAACTCAGTCTACCTCCTGAAGTGTTCAGAAAAACCCAGAGGTGAGCAGCTGACCGAAATACCTCTCAATGCATCGCACAGATTGTGTCCCAGCAGAACACAAGCCATATTGCACCATCCTTCTCATTGACAGAGTACACAATAGTTCTGTCCATCACAAGTCATGAATTATATCTTTGCATTTGAGAATAAAATTCTTTGCACACATTCTGTGCTGCCCTGAAAGCCAACATGTGTATGTGAAGTACTTGCACCAAGGGTTATGGACTTGGGCTGTCAGAGGTTTCCAACTAAAACCTTCACCTTGACTGCAGTATGTGTGTTATAAACTAAAAGTCCAAGAAGGAAAACAGAAGCAGCATCTCCTGCAAAGACAAGAGAATTTTGTCATTGGAATAGGAAGCATCTCATTCGGTGAAACAGGTCTCTGGAAATACAGAAGTGCATGAGTGCACAAGTATCTGAGAGCATTTTCCAGAAGGGGACATTACCCAGGTGTTCACCACCCAGGACTACTGGACACGAGTAGAGATCTGCATCCAAACACAAACAAACCTTTCTCAGTTTGAATGCTTAATCTACTGGCTGGAGAAGCCCTTGCTGGTATTAAACTTTAGAATTTTCCCCAAGATCTGCTAAGGATTAGACTGGGTACAGTGACACTTTTTTAAAAATTATTTTTTTTCTTTCTGTGAAGCCTAAGCTCTTGACTGCAGAGTCATTTTGAGAGTTTGCAGCAGTTAGATCACCTGAGTGATCCAACCAGCGAAGGAACAATATCTCACTTTATCTGAAGCGATCTGTGTAACCACGACTTCTGAAGGGCTTTGCTCCTGCGGCGAACGCAAGTGGTGCTGTAATGAGAATGTTTTTGATCCATGGAGGAAATCTTCAGCGAAACTTCATTACGTCAAAAGAGATGTTCTAAAGGGCAGGACACCAGCCAGTCTTCCAGTCAAGATCAGAGATGGTAAATCTTCCCCCAGATCTTCTTAAACTTGGAATTGCAGTTGCAAAGTTCTTTTAAGTCTAGGATAAGGATTCAGCTTCCTTTCCTTAAACAAGGTCGGACTGCCTTCAAGTGCAGCACAAAGGCAATGAGACATGAAACAGATTTATGGCCCATACTCTTAGGCATGACACCAGTCTCAGAAGACAGAGCATTGACCGGTGTTGCAATTGCTCCGGTAGATAATGATGCCAGCTGGTAAAGGCAAAACACTATTTCATGCTTACTGAAACAGACTGTTAAGGATCCTTACCACAAAAGCTACCTTGTCTTGATTTTCCCAAACACTCCTTATCACTGGCAAGAGGTTTGCTGTGTCAGTGAAGTACCTGTCTAGAATCTGGTATTTGCTGTTGGCTTCCAAACCCAACTGGGGCAGGAAACTGGTGAGATCCCAGATATTCGGTGTTCTGTAACCAAACAAGCTTCATTAACAAGAAGGGTGACCTCGACTGCTTTAAGAAAATGCAGAACACAGAGATGCACCTGGTTAAGATCCGCTTGTACAAAGCATCACCCATCCTCTTCAGGAAGGCCTGAAAAACTATACAATCATCAGCAGACTAAGTAAACTAGGTCCTTCTTGGATCCAAGAGTAAGATCAGTACTGGAAAGGATGCCATTCGTTCCCCACATGTCTCTTTCACCACTGAAAAGGACAGGTCTGGGCACTTACCACAGCTCCTCCAGGCAGCCATTCCTCTTGCTTTGAGAGTATGAACATACACAACTACTCAGAGGAAACTGGAAGAAAAGCATTTCACACAGAGGTTTAGTTCCAACCACTTGTGGCAATGACCTGGTCAGAGAGTAGCTGAGGAAACTTGACCAACGTCCCCCACGACAAGGCAGGGAAGAACCTCTTCCATAGGAGGAAGTTTTACTTCACCAGAAGGTGCCAGGGTTCCTCAGAAGAGCCATGCACCCAGCACCCCCTCTGGCAAGGCAGATCTGACCTTCAGCATTTTCTTTCGGTGGCACCAGCAGAAGAGAGAGTCACAGTTTGAGGCTGGTACCCAGGCTCACCTCAAGGCAGAACATCTCACAGCAAAGAATGCCAAGACCAAACCGGCATCTGCATCTTTAGCACTAACTCCATGGCAGAAGTTTCCATGAGGGCATAGAAAGAGACCATTCACTATGAGCACAGAACCACCACAGCCTTCATCCTGTGGCATCAGTCTAAACACTGCTTCACTGCTCTGCTTTTTGCCAAAAGGCAGACATTCTCGGTGTGGGAGAATGGTCCAGAGATAAAACAAAACCTCACACGGGTGGCTCAGGACTGCAACATAACCGTAGAAGACACTACTGAGGCTAGACTGAAAACCACGCCAGGAAAGCTGGTCGGTACCGGACATTTCAGGAGGCCAGGCCAGGGCTCTGGCCACAGGCTGTAAGGGTCAGTGTGACAGTCCCGGACATCCCTCTGCTGAGAGCGAGAGGCACAGCGGGAACACAATGCGCCTGGCTGCAAAGGTCCTGGATCTGAATGATAGAACTTATATATATCCTGACTGCAAATGTACACAGAGATCATCCCTTGACACTAGAAAACAAAGATACTGAGGAGGAAGGGTATCCCAAGGGAAATACAGGAGATTGTACTAATGTATGTGGGTAAAAATTTCTATATTAACCGTATTTTTCAAAAAAATACCTTATCTATGGCATCAAGGCCAACAGACTTTCCTGCCGTACATTAAGGTAGCGTTTTGTTTGGCTTTTACACATAGTATCTACAAGGCAACAGCAATACATATTGCTATGTCACTGAAGGGGAATCATTTCAATAGAGCATAACGGAGACAGGCAATTACAGCTGCGCGCGGTGCTCACCAATGTAAAATTCAAGCACACAAACCACTGAGATACACCAGCTATTATCGCTCAGCACATGACTGCATGAGAACAATAACCAAAAACATAGCGAGGTAATTTTAAAACACCGTACAGCAAATCCTGCTGTTGTGACAACTGCTCTGCTCAGAACAGCAGGCTGCTGGGCATAAATCAGGACGATCACAGATGGCTTTTGAGCCAAACTATTTTACTGCAGCAGTTTCTTAAAACAAAAGTTGAGACAATTAAAAAAAAAACCCAAAAAACTGCTTCAAACTACAGATCACTGATACCTTTCAAAAAAAATATGCCCACTACCCAGCATGCAGCAAAAAGAGTGCTGGCATTGAACACAGGAGACGAAAAGCAAGCGATCAGTGCCTCTGTGAAGCAAGCACTCATTGTAGTCTGTACCTGGCTGATATGTACGGCAGAAACCTGGGCAGAGCACACGGACGAGTGGCTGGGAGAGTTTGGCAGAGATTTGCAGGGTCCAATTGAAAGCTGTTGTTTCTTCCTTGTTGCAACGATCTTCTGAGCAACTGAAGAAAAACAAAACACACAGGGCAGGTAAGCTGCTGTACACGCTAGAAAAGATGTTCTGTCAAAAATACACACAATGCACAATACACAAAACAGGGTTTTCCGCTGCCTAAACTTGCTCCAAAAATTGATTGTCATGCATTCAATTAAGATGCCAGCCGCTGGTGCCTCGCAGCACACCCCATGTGAGACTCCAGCTTCGTTCTCCACATGGATGAGACTGTCCCAGAACCTCTCGCTCCACCAGTAACCACCAGAGAGCCAGTAAATTCCAAGCAAAAGGGGAAAAGGCAGGTGTGCAAGTTACAAAAAGCAATCCCAGCAATGCTCTAACAAGCCCGCTAGATTCTTGTAATATCACACTAGCACAGCTTCTGGTAGTTGAAAGCATTTGAAACAAACAATAACTGGAATAATAAAACTGATAAAGGGTCCCTGACATGGAATAGTTGGATTAGTGGTGCCACACATCGCATCTCGTTCACATTCATTACGGAAAGAAGCGCTGTCGTGATTCCCAGTTTTAGCTCTAGTTACTTAACATCATAAGCACAGCTGCAAAAATGACAAATTTATTTGGCAATTTATTAAGAAATTCTCTCCAACATGTAAAGAAAAGCAGTGTTTATCAAATAGAGACAGAGTCTCTAACATGTGCATGCAGCAAGCAGGCTCATCATTAAAAAATGGAAACAGAGCTGATCTGAAACGCAGCAACTTCCTATATAATTTTTGCCTTCCTCACCCATAATTCTTCCATTTAAAAAAAATCAAACTATTTCAGGAATTCACTCTGTGACATCCTGGAATGTCAGTTCATCCTCCTGTTCAGCTACGGCCCTGGGAAAGTGCTCTTTTCAGGTCATAAATACTTAAAAATAAGTTCCTTTACAATACATTTGTTGCCTACTTTTTGGGTCCCAAATTGAAAAGTAAACAGAATTTCAGTCTTCACAAACAGAGACCAGCGTAGTGGCTAATCAAACCCACCACTAACTAAATTCGGCTTCCTTGCTTGCAGCCCTCTCCATGAAGCGGAGCACTTCATGAAACTTGTGCAAGGAGGAGTCACCCGCAGCGTCTCCACCAGAATGGGTCACGAGACAGAACAGAACAATTACTGGCGTCTGCTTAAAAAGTCACACAGAAACTTGTTGTAACTGAACTAAGAGCATTCGGTCTGTCTTGTTCAGAAAACATGAAGAGCTATTTATGTAAATTCCAGGACTATTTTTCCTCAATTTGTTATAACACCGGCAGAGATACCGTTTAGTGGCGTAAGCGTACGATTCCTCCTCAAATGGATGCAATTTTAATAACCAACTGGTCTGTGGCTTATGTTTTCCGTGTAAATGAATGATGGCATACCCATGATTTAGTGAGAATACATTGTATAAAAAATGGCTGGTATATATGAGGAAGCAGCATCATTAGTTACATCCCACCTCCAATAGGCCTCTTATCATCCTGAAAGGATGATATCAATTAATTTATCTTCCCCTGGCATATTGATCATAACCTTCATCAGCTAATCATGTTTAAATTACAGAGGAACATCGTAGCACTCTGTCATTTCAGACCCATTGGCTTATTGATCTGAAGCCTGGAAAGCCATATATTAAAATATTTTAAAACACCTTAGCAAATGCAGAGAGCAAACCAAAGGTCAGATTTTTACATGTGCACATGGATTTGTCTTCATCGTACGCGGTAAAGACCTAAATTAAGACCAAAACTGAATTAAAACCACACATGAATGGAAACTACCTGCTCAGCAAAAGCTTCTGCTCTCACACGGGAGAGGTAATTAGTCAAGGAAAATATTTACCTCCTTCCTTCCACCTGCATATAGGTGTGTTTGCAGCATCATGCCAACATACATAATGCAGTCTTGACAATTTATCGCCCTAGGAATGCACAAGGCAAAAATCCCCGCTCAGAACTCACCTACTCAAACACACCACCCGAATGCTAGCCATGTACTACTAGCAGACTGAAAAAAAAAATTTTTAAAAAGCCAAAAAAGCACAAAGTGTTACTCTAGAAATGTGAAGAGCAATCCACAGCGACGTGCCCCCTAACGGAAATCCCCTTCTGAGCTGCCAAACCTTCCCAATTCCCCCTCCATTTCGGCAGCAAGCCTGACATCCCCCCCAGAGCATGACTCCTCCTGCCTCTCCCTCCTTCGTTAGCCAACCTGCTCTCCTTCGAGCCACCAAACAGTCTGAGCTTCTTTCCCTGTAGCCCCATAGCCACCACTCCGTAATTAGATCACATTCAATATTCAATTCTTGGGGCTACCTGCCCTTAGATACGATGGTGACACGAGCTTCACAAGTGCCTAAAGAGTACCCTGACCCTTCAAAGTTTGCAGCACATGAAAGACGTGACTGATCGTGTCGGGGCAACCGCCGGACTGCCAAAAGACCTACTGTGTTCTTTCTAAAGCTACCTTGAGAGAGGAGATGAAACCTAAATCTTGCCCATCAGAAGTCAACGAAAGGGGTTCAGCACGCATCGCCTCAGCAGTGCTGCTGCAAATTACCATTTTCTACATCTTCCATCCCAGAGAAGAAAGCCCTGAAATGCACAAAACTGAGAACGCCTGGCACTGAAAACCCCACCGATCGGCTGACCCCCGCTGCCGGCATCTTCAGACACAGTGTGCTTCATTAACCAGTTTAAGACTGCTCAAGAGCAAAATCTTCAGACTAATATTGAAGTGCCTGTAATCAAAATGTCAGTCCAGGGGAAGCTATACAATTAAAACAAACCTTGTTCTATACAGTAATAGAGAGTGCGGGAAAGCAGGAACGTTTTTGCCCCGGAGCCTTCAGGTTCCATCTCATCCAAAAGATGATTCAGTGCTTTTGAATTTTATGTAAGCATACTTGCTAAGATATGTTTCTCAAACAGATGAATACTGACTTAATCTATGTGGCAGGTATCAAAAATAATCAAGACAGTGACAAGCATTTCAACTATTTTGAAAAACATCAATTCCCTCTACTTTTATATACTCAATTAAACTATCAATTTCTGAGGTTTTTTTGGTAAACCACCTATCAATGGTATGAAAAGCTAAACAAAATTTATTTGCAAAGTCAAGAACTCTTCTGCAGATAAAGAGGGATATAAATTGTAAACCAGGAGAACTGATGTTTAGCAAATATTTGGTCTTTGGGGAAGACTGATGCTTATTTCTTATACATTTAAACCCAATTGCACAAGCCAGAAGGGCTAGAAATTATATTTTGCTTTAGGGCCTCGTTAATTAAAAGCATGTGAAATTCCTGGTCTGCAAGATGAATAAAACATCCCAGTTTGGGAAAAAAGCTCTTGACTTGAATGCCACCTCTTCCATGCCTGACCTAGCTCACCAAAACAAAGTTAACCTTCCCCCCCCCTGCCGCTTCCATCCCCACCGCTACTTTTTGTTAGTCAATAACAGCCCCTGTAACTTCTCCGGGATTGTTCCCTGGCAGGACCATACCGCCGAGCAGCAGCCTCCAAGCCCTACGGCAAGGTTTCCGCACTCTGTGTTGCAACCCATCACCCTTTCCATTTGCACGTGGAAAAAAAAAAAATTCCCTGCACGCTAATTTTCCCCAACCACAGCTCTCCTATCCTGCTCTCTGCGGCACAGGGCTGGCTAACGGAGGTCCCCTCCTCTCCCCAAACCCAGCGCTGTGCCTCCGGAATGAACCCACTCCTCTTTGTGCCGCCTTTGGGAGCTAATCACCATTAGAAATAACTGTTGCCGGAGTAACTGCTCCAACAGAGTTGTCTCTCCCGGGTTCAAAGGGCTGTTGGCATGTCAACTCCGTGTGCGGTGCCAGGCTGGGCTGGCGGGGGCGGCCGGCTCTCCCAAATCTCATTAGCATGGCTCCGGTTAAGGATCCGGACATGAAAGGCAGAGAGCTGGGGGGGAAACACTCCTTGCAACAAGTTCAACACACAAGGTAAGGCTGTCTCAGGTAGAGATGGTATGTATAACATGTACATAACAATATCTATAAGACCATTTATCTTCGCTGTGTGTCCGAGGATGAGCAAACAGCAGGTTCAGCTAAAACCTGCCACTGTGTGCAAAAGATGGGAGTGCAAGAATTGTACGCTAAATTTTCCTCCACTCATCGACAGGCAGAAAATAGCTTTCAGCTGGAGTCGGAATGCTCGTGGCTGACTGGAAAACAACAGAAGGGACAAACGCTCATGAAAACCTATTTTAACTGCTAGGTGAAAAAAAAGTATATCTGAAAGTTTACAGGAAGATGACCTTTCATCTCAAAGCCTCTCCCCACCATGGACCGCTCTGAACAACAACCAACCTCTGCTCAGCTCCTATCATCCGTTAGCAATTTGTAAAAGGTAAAGGGTTAGTTTTAAATGAAACCAAAGTGCTCTTGCTAACAGCAACAGCCAGGTGTCTGAAAATGAAAGTTGGCTTTTTTTTGAAATTCCGCAACAAAATTTAATTCCTTTTGCAAAAAAAAAAAAAAATTGTGGGTTGGAGTAACATAAATGACAATTCCTAAATTGACTGTTTTCACAGATCATCGAGAGAACTCCACCTACAAATGCAGCTGCATTTTAGCCTAGTATTCCACGTTTACAATAAGTGTTCAATTAAAAAAAAAAATGTATTCCATATTTCCATATTACAGGCAAAGCAGTAATAACAAGAGCAAGGACTAACCATAAATGCTTTTGACTGGGAAACATAAAGCTAAGTATCCACTATGAAGACCACCGTGCCTGTTATTTTAAATTCAATTTTTTAGACTAAGCAACTTTCATACTTCTCCCTTGGAAAAGGAGAGCTTGCCATCCTGTGTGCCAGCTGTAATACCGAAACACGTGCTGCACTCCTGCACTGCACACCCAAACCACTCTGTGATTCTGTATTATTACAAAGGCTCCTCAAAATATCGCATTTTATAATTAAATGCACAATTCTTTCACCTCACTAAAACAATCTTCTAACTCCTCGGATACA